TAGTCACGTTGAGCATCCCGCACCTCTGGACTACCGCAGGGGTTCGAGTCTGTTTGGCGACGTGTTTCCGAAACGTGACCTCGTGAATCCTTCAACCTTAGCGCCTCTACTACCATATATAGAATAAGACCTCAGCTCCAGCCCAGAGGACCAAGACAGAGGGTAGTAGTACAGAGGAGACTACTGCCATTCAGTAGCTATTCAGCTGCATAGCCCTCCAGTAACGACTGTTGAACGCAACAAGGAAGTGGAGTGGAATACCTTCATATAGGGCTATGATTTCATATGCACCCTAGTAGAAGGTAATACGACTCATAGCATGAAAAGTTTACGTTATAAACTCAACCACAAAACTAGCCCCCTACAGTCAAACAGTCAGTGGTGAAATTCTTGCTCCAACTTGCCTATCTTACATTTCCTCAACGGTAATCACTTAAGTGCCATCATAAGTGTCCTCTACTCCACGATGCTCTACGACCCTCTTACTGACCGCAGCAGGAAGAGCGGAGAGAGCGGTAGTAGCTCTTCTAAGATGACATGAAGGTGACAATCAAGACACAGACTGTTGCGTGGGTTGAAGAAGGACGAGTGGAACGAAGAGGTAGTAGCAGTGAACATAGTGGCAGGGAGTAGTCAGAAAATGAATAAGAGATATCGTATACGCATGCATACGGCTGAGGGGGTCTTCAAGTAGATGGCGATGGTGTGGTATCACCAATAGAGTCACAGCCCACACAGCGGCAGCTGTCTATGCTTGAGGCAGAAGTGGAGAGTTTATGATACGGGGTAACGTGGCAGCATCATAGAGCTGAAAGAAGGCCAACTAATTGTTATGAATGTGAACCTTCTTCGTGGTGAATACCAACCCTCAGTGGTGAGAGCCCACTGGAAGTCGCCAAGTACTATAAACTACAGTGAATAAGAGGCGGACATCACAGATATATCCGATAAGTGCTCCCTGCTTCCAACATGAGCGCAACAACCAGAAAAAAACAATAGTGGCTTATACAGACAGTTCTCCCTCTCCATAAAAAGCATGCCTCGCCTTCCTACGTTTATGCTTCTCAGTGGTGCGTTACTCTGGTCGGACCTCATTAACTCTCGCATAGTCATTGCCTTTACCACCAATGTCCACATCCCAACGTTTCGCCTTCTCATTCCTTCGGGATGGGTTCAAGTTCCGCATGGGCAGATTATATGAGACATTCTGGTATTCCCAGAGCAATCTGAAGTGGGTACTAGTTTTCGGCTACCCAGGTTAGTGCCTTCCCTCTCCTTCTCGTTCTCCCATGTTTCCTTTCAGCTCTCCTGTTTTGGGTACGTTGGCGAGCGGACCATCAGTACAAGTACCGCATCTATGTGGCGGATAGAAATGTAACCCCTGACACTACCAAGAAGGTGTCCCTGTGGGGTAAGGAATATG